AACATTTTCCATGAACACTAAGTTCACTATGGTTAGAATAGAGTGAGCAAGGAGGAGTATATTAAGAGATAAGGTCAGAAAGGAGATGGAGACCAAGTATCATAATCTAATTTACATTTTAATTAGATCCTTCTGTTTTGAAAATAGACTAAGGGAGCAAGTAGGGAAAGAGTTACTAGGGTATTACAATAATCTGGAAAGAAATAGTGGTGGCTTGGATTAGACTAGAGATATGAGTGGTTAGAATCTGGATATATTTTGAAGGTAGAATTAGTTGACAGGAGTAGCTGACAGACCAGACCAGATATCAATGGGGTATAAGAGGAGAGAGTCAAAGATGACTTCAAGTGTTTTGGCCCAAACAACTGGAAGAATGTTTTGCCATTATGCAAGATAGAGAAGACTGTGGAAAGACAGCTTAGAGGAGGAATATCAGTAAGTTTTATTTGTACATTAAGATCGGAAAAGCTTATTAGATCTGTGTTGGCCAACCTCCAGTGTGGTCCTCGATGATCCTTACCTCCTAGATTTATCCACTTTGACGGAATCCCTCCACGTGGAAATCCAGGCTGTGTCTGGTAATAATAGAGGAGAGCCTGCAAAAGTGATGATTGTCAAACTCCTGAGGCTAGAATCATAGTCGTCGTTTCTGCATTGATTCCCGGATTGTTGCCCTGGGAGAAGCCAGCAACCCGCCATTAAGGGTACTCAGGCAGCCTCTTGACTGGCGGCCCACATATGGAGAAGGAACTAAGGTCCCCCGTCAACAAAAGAAATCATTATGCTGCACATGAGTAAAAGCCACACCCAGGGAGGCCTCCAGCCCTATGCCAGATGACTGCAGCCTGCACAATACCCCGACTGCAGCATCATGAGGCCAAATGGACTCTAGGAAACTGCTCAGCTAAACTCCTCACTTTCCCTGAACACAAACTATGACCAGATAATAAGCCCAGCCTTTAGTTTTTTTAAGCCACTGAATTAGGTATATTGTTAAGTTATAGGCATTGAATATAACTAATATGACATCCAAATGTAAGGTAAGGGAGTACTGAATGTCGAATTTCAGAAGGGTTTGGAAGTTTGACATCCTTCCATAGAATATAAATGGACAACTGTAATACTACAAATGAGGTGACTAAGGATGCCATAAAGATGAAAAAGAAGGATTCAAGAGGCAGCCCCTAGGGCCTCCAGGAGTAAAAACTAAGAATGTGAGGTCAAAAAGCAAAAGAAATGAAACAGCGGTAGAAAAGCGGGGTATTTTGCCAAGCTGTCACCATTTGTATATATTCCTCCTCTATCTCTCTATATATCATAATATTTAGTATTATGCCCATGTAAAAGCTGTGCTTGTTGCCTTTAATAGTATCTATCTGGTGAGTCCCATGCTTATTTGTTCTTTGTTTCTAGAATATCATTGTAATACATTCAGCCAGTAAAACGAAAAAATTCGAACTATAGTTGGGGAGAACAGACAACACACG